GTGAGGAAGAGGGGGAGAGAGAGAGATTACACCCCCCCCCCCCACTGGGGATTGAGCCCACAACCTGGGCATGTGCCCTTGACTAGAATTGAACCTGGGACCATTCAGTTCACAGACCAATGCTCTATACACTAAACCAAACCAGCTAGGACTAGTTCTTCTTCTTCTTAAAGAAGAGCCTTTAACATTTCATGTAATATTGGTTTGGTGGTGATAAACTCCTTTATCTTTTCCTTGTCTGGCAAGCTCTTTATCTGATCTTCGGTTCTAAATGATAGCTTTGAGGGTAAAGTAATCTTGATTGTAGGTCCTTGCTTTCCATCACTTTGAATATTTCTTGCCACTGCAAAGTTTCTGGCCTGCAAAGTTTCTGTTGAGAAATCAGCTGATAGTCTCATAGGCTCTCTCTGGTAGGTAACCAACTGCTTTTCTCTTGCTGTTTTTAAGATTCACTCTTTGTCTTTATTTAACTTTTTGCATTTTAATTATGACGCATCTTGGTGTGGGCCTCTTTGGGTTTATCTTGTTTGGGACTCACTATGCTTCCTGGACTTGTATGTCTATTTCTTTCACTAGGTAAGGGGAATTTTCTGTCATTATTTTTTCAAATAGGTTTTCATGACTCTCTTCTCCTTCCAGTACTCCCATGATGCAAAAGTCAACCCAGAAGGTTCTTACATTATCTCCATATTTTTTGATTCTTTTTTCTTTTTGCTGTTCTGATTAGGTGTTTTTTGCTTCTTTATATTTCAAATTCTTGATTTCTTTAAGTTCAGCATCTTCTACTCTACTGTTGATCCCCTATAGATATTTTCTTTAAAATTTTTTTATTTATTTCGGAGTGAGGAAGGGAGGTAGAGAGAGAATAGAAACATCAATGATGAGAGATAATCATTGATCAGCTGCCTCCTGCATACCCCCACTATGGACCAAGCCTGCAATTTGGGATGTGCCCTGACCAGGAATTGAACCATAATCTCCTGGTCATGGGTCAACAATCAGCCACTGAGCAACACCACCTGGGCCTCTGTAAATTATTCTTTTTTTTAAAATATATTTTATTGATTTTTTACAGAGAGGAAGGGAGAGAGATAGAGAGTTAGAAACATTGAGGAGAGAGAAACATCGATCAGCTGCCTCCTGCACATCTCCCACTGGGGATGTGCCTGCAACCCAGGTACATGCCCTTGACCGGAATCGAACCCGGGACCCTTCAGTCCACAGGCCGACGCTCTATCCACTGAGCCAAACCGGTTTCGGCTGTAAATTATTCTTTATTTCAGATAATGTATGCTTCATTTCTGACTGGTCCTTTTTATGTCATTGATATTCTCACTAATTTCCTTGAAATTCTTACTAAGTTTCTTGAAGGTCTCATTCAGTTCCTTAATCATCCTTGTAACCATTGTTTTAAACTCTGTATCCAGTAGTTTTCTTGCTTCCATTTTATTTAGTGTTGTTTTTTTTTCTGGATATTTCTCCTATCTGTTTGTGTGTTTTTTTTCATTTGTGACATGTTTCTTTATCTCCCCATTTTTGCTTCTTCCCTGTGTTTGTTTCTATGTTTTAGGTAGATCTGCTATGACTCCCAGACTTGGTAGAGTCACCTTGTAGTAGTAGGTGTCCTGAAGGGCCCAGTGGCTCAGCTTCCCCAGTTACCTGAGCTGGACACTCCAGTTGCGCCTCTGTGTAAGCTGTGTGCACTGTCCTATTGTAGTTGAGCCTTGATTTACTTTGACATCACTGGAAAGGATTGAGCCCCCCCAGGCCAATAGCTTGTAAGGATCAGCTGTGACTACAACTGAAATGTTGCTATGCAGGAGCTCACTTTAAGGAACAGGACTTCCTTTAGTGGAGCTTTGGTGCTCACTGAGTCCAACCCTTGAGTGTGTCACTTGTGGAGGTGGTAGGGGTGTAATCCAGCATGGCTGAAGCTGACTACTGGATGCACTGGCTCTGGGGCCTCCCAGGAGGTTCAAGGTCAGCCTTTGCCTGTGCCCTGCCCAGGGCCACCCAGCATGAGCTACAAAGCAATATGCAGATGTCTGCTACTTGTGTTGAGCTCAGAAGTGCCCAGGAGAGGGCAAGCTGTGAACCAGGTTGGGTTGCCGCTAGTTCCAGGTTGATACTTGTTTGAGAGAGTTTAGGAAAGTCTAAAGCATGAGGCAATAGAGGCCAGTTGTATGGAAAAGCCACTGGAAATGATGTGATAAGCCTGCTAGTAGGGAGGGGCAGGGTCTCAAGGAATCACCAGGGTGGGGGGAAAGGGTGATCCAGGTTGATGGGAGATTCAGATATGATGCAGCCGGTCAGCTCAGTGGCAGGGAGAGCTCAACAAAAGAACACTAGCCTCTGCCAGCACTTCTGTCTAGGAGAAACCTGCCCCTCCAGCTTTTGCCCTGATTCCAGACAAAACAGTTCCTCTGTGAATGTCCCAAGGTCCTTTCACATTGGCCCAGTGCTGGAGCTCAGAGGGAGTGAATCTGAGTAACTCCCTTTAAGAGGAATGGCCTAGGACTCCCACAGCCTCTGTGTTCCTCAGCCACAATCCTCACTGGTTTTTACAGCCAGAAGTTGTGGGGTCTTCTCTTCCCAACACTGGAACAAACACTGGACTGGGAGCCTGGTATAGGACAGGGACCCCCTGTTACTCAGGGAAACCTCCATAGCCAAGATACCCCTCCTGATTTTAAACCGCCACACGTGGGTGTGGGACAAGCCGGTTCCACAATTCTACCCCACATCTCTGCCCCTTCACCAGCCTTGATGTACTTCTTCTTGCAAGTATTTATTTTTTCATCTGTAGATGTAAATACACCACTTCAACATACCATTATGGAAGGTCTAAAAAACAATTGTGAAATTCAACTTATTTTTCTCTTTTTTATTATTTATTTATTACTTTTAAAAAATGTATCTTTATTATTGAAAGCATTACAGATGTCTCCTTTGTGTTTTTTCCCCATTGACTTCCTCTCCCCAACACCTGCCTCTCCCAAGCTTTCACCACACTATTGCCTGTGTCCATGGGCTGTGCATATATGCATATAAGTTCCCCAGTTAATCTTTCCCCCTCCCTCGCCTTCCCTCTGAAATTCATCAGTTTGTTCCATGGTTCTATGTCTCTGAATCTATTTTGTTAGAACTTATTGGGGTGGCATTGGTTAATAAAGGTATATAGGTTTCAAACGCACAATTTTATAATACATCATCTCTATATTGTATTGTGTGTTCATCACCCAAAGTCAAGTCTCCTTCTATCACCATTTCTACCCCTCTTTTACCTCCCCCAATCTTTCCCTCTGGTAATCACCATACTGTAGTCATGATTTTTAAAAAATATACTTTTATTGATTTCAGAGAGGAAGGGAGAGGGAGAGATAGAAACATCAATGATGAAGGAGAATCACTGATCAGCTGCCTCCTGCACACCCCCTACTGGGGATGGAACCTGCAATCTGGGCATGTGCCCTGACCGGGAATCAAACCATGACTTCATGGTTCATAGGTCGATGTGTACCCACTGGAGCCATGCCAGCTGGGTTGTAGTCATGATTTTTAATAATTTAATTTAAAACTCTTTATGGGTGCTTCAAAACACTTTCTCCATCCCATAGAGCCAGAGCTTCTACTCGGGTTAAGACCATGGTTGCAGTTGAAGGCAAGATCCTGCAGTCTTCGAGTTTCACCCTTGAGTTAGAAGAGCTTCTCTCAGATCAGTAGGAGGCCAAGAATGGTGGGTACCATGACCATGAGCCACGCTGGAATCCAAGCTACTCCAGAGGATCGGGCTGAAAGGGCAAGAAAACCCCAATACTTAGGTGTCTTGATTACTGCATTGAGAAAGGGTGGGGGTGTGGACATTGTCAATGGGAGCCAGAAAGTGTATTTCCTCCCTGAATCCAGTCTCATTGTGCCCGAGACATCCTCATACCAGACTGGCTCAGTCTCCCCAGATTAAAGTACACAGAGTGCAGAAACCCATTAACTATTACTGACTCAGCTGAGTCCTGTGCTTGCATGTCTGTGAGCCTGGGAAAGAATCATTCTCCTCCACCAGACAGCGCTGAGTAGGGCAGAGCTCCAGGTATAGAGAGATGACCATTTAATGCTATGCACAGATAACCTTAGGGAAGAAAGGACTACTTCTTCCTGTTTCTCCACCTCATTAACCATTTGTACCAACTAGAAGGAAAAAAAGGGAGAAGGGAGAGACAGGGAGGGAAAGGCATAAAAACAGAGGAGGAGAGGAGACAGCCAGGAGGAGGAGGAAGGAAGTGCAAAATAATAAGGGAAAGACAATGAGTGATAAAATAGGGAAGGGAGATGAGGGATGCTTTTCTAGGATAATTTGGGCAGCTAAAAAGTGACAAGATAGGTTTAACACTTCCAAAAAATGTATGTATTATTGTTTTCATCCTTGCTGCAAATGAGCAGTCACCCTCATTGGATAAAGGACAGGGACTGTGTGTCTTCCTTTTTCTGGATCTCAAGATAAAGTGTTGATGTAAAGGTAGTGCTGGAACTGCCCAGTCAACTTATGGTCTCAAGGTCAGACACCAATTTCACATGAATCTGAGGTGACAGAAAAGCAGCAAGTATGAGGAGACTAGAAGAGATATGAGCAGTTAGTTAGGAAGTATTAAGAACATACAGTTTCCATAGTCCACCTGTAGCAGCAGAGATAGAGAAATCAGCACAGATAGGGGGAAAGTAGACTGGGTCCAAGAAGACCATGAAAGAACAATGTCCTTGGGGGCCATGGTCCCTGATGACTGGGCATGACAGGGATCTCAGGTAAATGTTGGCATCACAGGGATGAGTTATTCTAGAAAAATATGTATACCAGGATTCACGGATGTGATTTCAGGGGTGTAGAGAGTAAGAGAGACCTGAATGCTGGTGATAGCAATTCATGTTTATTAAAGGGATACCCAAACCCCTAGTGTCTCCAAACTTGAAGGGACTTTGCCTAATTTAGCTACCATTCACTGAAGACTTGTCAGGCACTGTGCTAGGTCATTTACATTGTTTCATTCAATCCTTACAAGATAAGAACTATTATTTTGTCTGTTATTTAAGAGGAACATGACTTAGAGAAGATAAGTAACTTGCTTAGTTAGTATGTGACACTCCCAGAATTAATTCCCAGGTGTCTGACTCCAAAACCCATAGACTTACTACCCAATCTTAGCTCCCCCACTATGGGTTCTGTGTAGGCTTGATAGGGATTCAGGAGTGATGCTCAAGTGAGTGAGTAGATTCTCCCAGGAGATGGAGGAATCTGCAGCATAAAACCCAGAATTTGCCTGCTTAAATTCTCAAGGAGAACACAGCTGGGGAGAGCAGAGAGTCTCTACCTTAGGATAAGGCTCTCACTCCTGTTCACTACTTGTTCTCCCTCATGCTCATCTCTTTGGCTCTTCTTCTGTTGTTGATTTAGACGATCTACCAGAAACCCCTCAATGCGCCTGCTCAACAATGTGTGGCCTACTCTCCCACTTGCCCTGTGCTCTCTGGTCACCCTGATATCTCGGCTTGTCCTACAATTACCCTGGCCTCAGATTCCAGGACCATGCATTGTTAGAGCAGGCAAGGAGTTGACATCCTGTGCAACTGCCCTTTGCAGCTAAGGACACTGATCTCCACAAAAGTGAGGTGAGCTTCCTGGAAGGTGTTAGCAGAGCCATGAGTAGAACCTGAGTCTCCCAGATGCCTTTGGGATTCTCCATCAAATTCTGTGCCAGGAGAATTTGAAAGGGTCCCCGCACCTTTCTTCATTCAAGAGAACTAGTGACCCTGAACCCACCTCAGCTCCTTTGGGAATATTTCTTACCCAGTTGACAGTGTGAAATGAAGTAGACTGTGTTACTGTTGCGGCTCATAGGATTGCTGACTTCGCATTTGTAAAACCTGGAGTAGTTTTGAGGTATAACGGTGATATTAAGCACACCACTCTGGAGCTTTTCTGAAATGGGTCCTGAGTCCCCATACCAGGTGTAGCTGACAGACAGATTCCGGACCATACATGACAGGATCAGATCACAGCTGTTGTTCATTTCCTGTGTCTTCTCAATTGTTACGTCAGGCTTAGGTACAGGATCTGAAGATGAGGAGGATGTTATAAGAAGAGACATTAGATTTATGCATTTATGAGGCATTTATGCTGTGAAGGTTTAGCCAACAATGTACAAAGGAAGCTAGGAGTGACAAGCGCTGTGGGAATTGGAGTCATAGAGCAGAAGCCCCTATAGAGGGAACCAGTGAGCAGTTTGGCCCTCTGGGAAGCTTTAGCCAGCGGTTCTCAACCTGTGGGTCGCGACCCCTATGGGGGTCGAACGACCCTTTCACAGGGGTCACCTAAGACCATCAGAAAACACATATATAATGACAAATCACTATGCTTCAATTATGTTCAATTTGTAACAATGAAAATACATCCTGTAGATCAGATATTTACATGATGATTCATAACAGTAGCAAAACTGCAGCTATGAAGTAGCAACAAAAATAATTTTAGGGTTGCGGGTCACCACAACATGAGGAGCTGTATTAAAGGGTCGCGGCATTAGGAAGGTTGAGAACCACCGCTTTAGACTGAAAGAGCTTCAGGAGGAGGAGCTATGCGCTCAGAAACAAAACGGGTTTATGACCATCTGTGGGCCAGAAAGAACAGCAGAGTGTTGGCAGAGAGATCTGCTCGGGTCAGAGTTGGTATCCCAAATATTTGACCTGCTCAGGGCCTTTTCTCTAGCAATGGCCCTTCGTTGACACCTTGGTCTGACTGTCCTTCAAAGACTTTTGGGCTCAGAGACAGCAGGAGTCCTGGGGTAAGAGATTCTGCCCTGCTCATGGCAAAGCCCTTTTCTGGACTCTGGCGGAGCGACAGAGAAGAACCTATGTAACCCCAGCACCTGTCCGCAGTGACCAACAGCTCTGAGTGTTCACTTTGCTGTCGCAGTGTCGCGTGCAGTGCCTGCCTCATAGCAGGTATTCTGTAAGTATCTAATGAGTGGGTGGATGGAGCAGCTATGAGGTGGAGAGGACAAAACACTAGCTTTGTGCTGAGAGCAGCCTGGATCCTGTACTTGGCTCTGGTGGAGTGACGTTAGGCAAGATAATTGCTGCCTTGAATTTCCTCCTCATTTGTAAAGTGACGCTGTCCATGGGAAGGGGTTTTCTGCAGACTGTGTTATAGGCATGCTGAAGGTCACGTCATCGCCACAGCTATGGTCCTGCTGCCAGACAGGCGAAAGGGTAATACCAGCATCTGCTCCTTCCTGTACTAGGGTCACTTTACATGAAATTCTCTCTCTCTCTCTTTTTTTAAAAAATTCTGGTCAAGAGTAAACCATCTGCAGAATCAGATGTCATAGTCACAGGGTTTAAATGTGACAGAGAATGGATCAGGTCAGAGTTTGCCTCTGGGTTGTATGTGTGTGAAGGGGCGGAGGGAGCTCTACCAGGCTGGTGTCCTGAACTCTGGACGCATCATTTCTCAGATAGCTCAACTCACCCTGCATGCTTTAGCTGAGCCATTTTTACACAATTCCTCTGCCACTTCCTGTGGTCTTGCACACACCTTCCTCATTTCTCATGGTGAGCAGCACAGTCCTGGGTGCTTTGTGGAAGGGACTTATTGAATCGGGTGGGGTAATCTGGCTCCAAGATGCCCCCTTTGAGCTACCAGAAACTCCTGGGTGGGACTAAAGGACAAGTCTTCTTCTACACACATCCTCAGGGTCTTATCTTCAGGCAGATGGACTGAAGCCAAACTAGATTGTGGATTTTAAAATATTCAGAAATTTTGCAAGCTGGTTGCGAAACCGTTAGTAACTTAGAACTGACTGGTGGGAGTATTTACCACACAGATTGGTAAATGACACAAATTTGGAGTTGTTTTTTCTAAACACCACTCTAAGAGACTCTCAATATTTCCTGTTCTCAGGACCTCCTGAATTTTTAGGCCATGTGACATGGAGGAAATGAGCAAGAAGAGGGATCTAGCCTCTTAGAACTGGGACCATCTGGCTGGTGGGACCTAAATATATACAACACTTTTTATTTGCACTATTTTAGCATTTAAAAATCACACACTTTGATTTTTAAAACATCCTAAAAGGTAGATATAATTATCCTTATACTATGATGAGGAACTCAAGGCTCTGTTTGCGGTGCACACTTCTCTTGGATGTTTGTCCAGACTCTTTCTTCTAACTTCTTACCCCAGAAGGCTAGGAACCATGTTTCTGCTTTACAACCTAACCCTTTTGGCCATTAATGTTTAGGTCAGGTACATATACCTGAACCAAGTTGGGTTAATCAGTCTCTCTCCTCTCCTCTCCTCTCCCCTCCTCTCCCTCTCCCCTCCTCTCCTCTCCTATACATTACTTTGCTTAATGATGTCCCATAAGTTTCTTAGGCTTTCTTCACTCTTCATTCTTTAT